ATATTGTTAAAATAATTAGATTTGGACTGTATTTTAAAACAGAAAATCAGCTCATGTTAATTTAAGGTAGTTTATGACTTAGTTGTATTATTGTTCATGCATGTGTTGACCTTAATGTTATAAATTTGATTAAAATGTGTTTTGTTAAATGTTTACTAAATTATTTATATGTTGTACAGTAAGAATATCTACTAACTATAGCAATGTAAAATAAGGAATAGGCTGAAGTCAAAGCTTATTATTATTATTATTATCTCATTCTAAAACTACGTGTTAATTTGTTATTAATTATTTGCTTAGTTTGTCTTTGAAGTAAACCTTTAGGTATGTTTTGTGAGCTTGTTTCAGTTGATTTATGATTCTGCACCTCTATCTCCCTCCACCTCCAGCTGAGCCAACAAGCTGTTCCTTCCTGATCTCAGTTCATAACAAATGGTGTCATATCACATTTTTGTGGTAGGGGTTTTGTAGTTAACAGGTGCATAAATTAAAAACAGCCTCTACTGGGAGTGTGCAGAGTAAAAGTCACATGTCTCTCATGCACTTTCAGGATAAGTTTGAGTTTTTTGTGTTGCAGTGCGAGGATGTCGTCCAGGGAAAACGGTGCAGATGACCGAGGCTGAGGTTCGAGGGCTCTGTATAAAGTCCAGGGAGATTTTCCTCAGTCAACCAATTCTGCTGGAACTTGAGGCTCCTCTTAAAATTTGCGGTGAGGACCAGCTTGAAATATAAACTTTTAAATGTATTCATTTATCTTTCACACACTGTTCAATTTTGTCTCTGATTGACCTTATTGACCAAGTCCTGAAAATAATTAAAGTTTTTAGTCAGTTAAATTTATCCTATGATGTAAATGTGATTTAAACTGAAAATTGATTTCCAGGTGATATTCATGGGCAGTACACAGATTTGCTGAGGCTCTTCGAGTATGGAGGCTTCCCTCCGGAAGCTAATTATCTCTTCCTGGGTGATTATGTGGACAGAGGGAAGCAGTCGCTGGAAACAATCTGTCTGCTGCTCGCCTACAAGATCAAATACCCAGAAAATTTCTTCCTGCTCCGGGGGAATCATGAGTGCGCTTCCATCAATCGCATTTACGGCTTTTATGACGAATGTAAGTTGGAAAAGACCGAGTCCATCTCTGCACTGTGGGGCTTCCATTCAGTCAAGTATATTTTTAAGAAACTGCTGGTTTTGTAGTTGCAGTAAAGGCATTAAAACCAGATTTGATATTTACGTTGAATGTCTACGTAGATAAAAATGACTATTAAAGATTAAAAATCATCTTAAAGATTTACTATGCTTGAATTTGGTTTTCTTGTTTGATATCACAAAATGAAAACCTTGAATTTTTTAGGTTAAAATATGACACTGAGATTTGCACAGAATATAAACAGTCACCTCTGAACCAAGGATCAAATGCTTTTTTTAAAAACTAAACATAAAATATACAAATAGAATTTATTACATTTTGAAAGGTTTTGTGCTCATGATTCTTCAGGCAAGCGAAGGTTCAACATCAAGCTCTGGAAGACCTTCACAGACTGTTTTAATTGTCTGCCAATCGCTGCCATAATTGACGAGAAAATCTTCTGCTGCCATGGAGGTTTGTGAAACATCTCTGTTTCATAGCTGCCACTAATTTCCTACCTAAGAGAACTTTAACTGAAACGGAATAGTTTTATTTTGTTAATGTTGTCATGGCATCATTTATAAGAATAAATAGGTGATCGAATTGGAGCCTGTGACATAAGTCAGATGGTATTTATTGTATATTTGCTAACTCGGGTTTCATATGTCAAAACTTGCAGGCCTCTCCCCAGATCTGCAGTCCATGGAACAAATTCGACGCATAATGAGACCAACGGATGTGCCAGACACGGGTTGGTTTCACCTTTTTATGTACCGAAATGAAATCTTGTCGTTTAGGGAATTCTCATGAACATAAAAGTTGGTTGAACACTCTGTGATACAATTTTAAAAAAATGTTTAAAATTCCACCCAAAAGGATTGTTTTGATCACTTTATACTTAGTTTTTATTTAAAAAAACACCTTCACCAAAAAATCTTTAATATTGCCATCTGATAATAATTTAGACACAATATGTTGTATTTTAGAATAATAAAAAAAAAAATACTTTTCTTGTTGCCGCAGTGCACTTGTTGATTTATTAGTGCTAGATAACAGAATGATCAGCCTCTGACTGCCTAACTTTCTGTTCCAGGCTTGCTGTGTGATTTGTTGTGGTCCGACCCAGACAAGGATGTACAGGGCTGGGGGGAAAATGACCGAGGGGTCTCCTTCACTTTCGGGGCCGACGTGGTCAGCAAGTTCCTCAACCGCCATGACCTGGACCTCATCTGCCGGGCACATCAGGTGACTGTGATCAGAGTAACTTCACTGTTGCTGTTAGAAAGTTTGAACTGACGGGAACAAAAATATAGAAAGCAACGTCGTGTTTACGTTTGCTTTTGATCCCGTTTGCCTGCAGGTTGTGGAAGATGGTTATGAGTTCTTTGCGAAGCGACAGCTGGTGACTCTGTTTTCTGCCCCCAACTACTGCGGAGAGTTTGACAACGCAGGAGGTATGATGAGCGTGGACGAATCCCTCATGTGCTCCTTTCAGGTATTGTCTTCTTTTAGCTCATGAATTCTACTGAAGTGTTGCAGTTGTGTTCATCAGTAACACAATCTCTTTATTTTTTAGATTCTGAAGCCGTCAGAGAAAAAAGCAAAGTATCAGTATGGAGGGGTGAGTTCGGGGCGTCCCGTCACCCCGCCTCGCACCACTCAGGCACCTAAAAAGAGGTGAGCGGCTGGTCCAGACTCTCCTGCTCCGTCCCTTTCACGCTGGTCTCTGGACCCTTTTACTTGCAGGCTGCCTCAGACACTCCAGTTTTCTCTACCACTTCATTCTTGTGTACAGTTAAAAACAAACAAAAAAACCTGGAGTGTTTTGACATTGTTTTCCTGTTTTGAACTGAGTACTTTTTATAAACATTTTTTCTTGTATGCCATGTATGCATTTACTCAACTACGATGTTTATTCCTCAGCCCATTCAGGATGTTTTAATCAACATTTTGTGAAACCAACAATAAGCTTTATTCACCTTCAGATTAAAACTTCTCATTGTGATTTTACTAAGTGCACGCTGAGTGATCTGACAGCTTTTGTTAGTTTGTGTCAAATCAACATATTTTCTGCCTGTTCTTAATAGTTTGTTTTTGAGAAATGAGTTTTCCTACAGAGTCAGATACGATTGATAAAACTATGTCCATCCACCTTCTTTACCCTTTTATGGTTCATGGGGGAGCTGGTGCCTGTCCCCACACTGAACTGATCACAAGTCCATCACAGGACCACATTGAGCCAAACAAGCATTCTCAACTCATTCACACCTTGGGACAAATCAGTTACTGATGATTCAAACATGCATGTTTTTGTTTCTGTGGGAGGAAACCAGGGTACCCAGAGAAAAACCACACATGCATGGGGAGCACATGCTCCACACAGAAAGTGAACCAGTGACTTCCTTGCAGTGAGGCAACAGACCTAGCTGCACCACCCCATCACTCAAAAATTAAACACGCCAACTTAAGTCCGCTTAAAAAAAAGAATCTGTACGCTAGCTCTCTGCAGCCACCAACCTTTTACTTAATAAGTAGAAAATTATTTTAGTTTGATTTGATTGAATTGACAAAACCGTGACTGGCCCCAAACATCAGAAATAAGCATAAAACCTAAGGAACCCCTTCCCATGGTTTGTACCAATTAAATACACATAACCTAATTTATACAGTTAACTTTAGACATTTTGGTGGCTGGAAATGCAGCACGGTGGTGCAGTTGGTAGAGCTGCCACCTCTCAGTGAGCAGGTTACCCTGGCTCAAATCCTGGCCGGGGCCTTTCTGGGTGGAGTTTGCATGCTCTCTCCGTGCATGCGTCGGTTTTCTCTGGGTACTGTGGTTTCCTCCCACAGATCAAAAACATGCACGTTAGGTTGATGGGTAACTAAATTGTCCCTAGGTGTGAGTGAATGGTTGTTTGTCTCTGTGTCCCTGTGATGGACTGGAGACCTGTTCAGGGTGTGCGTCACCTTTCGCACAGTGACGGCTGGACAGGGGCACCTGTGACCCCCGCGACCTGAAAAGGAAGAGGGTAAAGATGATGGATGGCAGTTATTTTGAACTTTCTTTCTCAGTTCTAGTTTGGATCCTGAACTCTTAACTGCAGAAATCAAGTTAATGCATGTAAAAAAAAAAAAAAAAAAAAAATTTGAAAAGTATCTGACTTCCTCATGACACAAGAATGTTTTTTCTACCTGGAGAAAGGGAAAAAAATGGAAGATTTGAAAACAAGTGTTTTCTGTTTTATTGCAAGTTGGTGGATCATTCCAGGCTTTTTTCCCTCAAACTTACAAAGTTGTTTATATTTTTTACTTCTTGCCTCATTGATCACATATTTGTAGTTAAATAACAATGTTTCTATAATTTATAAAACAAGAAAGTGCAGTTGAAATGTTTTTTGTTCTTGTTGGAATTTACTCTGAAACACAAATCATCTACTTACATCTTTTTTGTTTCCTTTAGAATAAAAAAAAAAAGTAAAAAAAAAATAGTAGACAAGCCAGAGAAAGAAAGAATTCAAGAGTAGGGTGAAAAATGTGGCATTTTATTAGGAAAGACGGTGACTAAGTACATTAAAGTCATGCCAGTTAAAAAAAAAAAAGCTTTTTACAAGAACAGTTGTATTTTCAGTCACTGCATGTGTAAAAAGATCAAACTCATTAAATCCAGATGGCATTTTGTTTGTTGGCACTCTGCACATAAAGTTGAACTGTTCCTCTTAGTGGCTACTGAATAAAGTACAGATAATTTCCAGACCACTTAAACAGTTACTGTATTGTTTTTAATTATTCCTTTTGGATCGTCTGTTTTTTCTGGTCTTCATATTGAAAACAATCTGTAAAGACAATAAAAAAATAAAAAGTTTGTTTTAAAGCAGTTAAATAAATGGAAGTGCTGTTGAACTTTCTGTTTGTCTGGTTAAATGTTAAATGCAGAAATGGTGAGACTGAGTCTTGGGCAGAAGAATAAAGTATGTGCATTTTTTTATGGAAATGCATTTAAGATTAGTGTACAGGTCAAATAATATGTTGATTTAAACACTGGGAATGTATTAGCATAAATTCAGAAATCTGCACCGACTTCAGTCTGACTTGAGGGCTTGCAGCACTGACTGTGGCACCCTGCTGATGTAGTGTCCGTGGTTGCGTAATGTAGCTAGAACTCCAGCAGAGTTCATGTGCTTTACGTCGGCATCATAACGGTATCCATTTCCATACATGTCGGTGAGCTTTCCTGCATTCAGGACGAGAGCAGATCAAATATTTAGCCAAACGTTGTTTTTACATTAGAATGATCTTCTTTTAAACCGTTCTTACCTCCGACAGCGTGCAGGATGGCCTCAGGAGCACATGTATCCCACTTCTTGCACCCCGGACTAGCAAAGACATACGCAGAAGCCTTCCCCTCAACAAGCTGGATTATCTGCAGAGAGCGTCAATTAACAAGAGCTCTTTAAATTTAAACCTAAATCCACGTTACCATTTTTTATCTTCAAAATCAAAGTTACATGTATGATCCAGTTTTTCTACATACAAATCCCAGTTACTCTGTAAAGTTTTTAGAACGGTTAAAAGTTTTTGTGAAATTGTTTCATTTTGAAACGGATTCCCCCCAACCACAGAAATCTACACTTTTTTTTCCCCAACCGAGCCATAACTGTTTGTTCCATGTTTATTTTTTTTTTATCCCATATGCGTGCCTCTAAATGCTTAGAAAACATGTGAATGTCCAGGTGCAGTCTCACTGAATTCTTAGTATTTGCAACCAAGTGCCCCCACATTTATGATTCAACATGATTTAATCTACTGGTGTATACTTTAGAACAGTGGTTCTCAAACTGGGGTCCATAAGCTGGTTCTTGGGGGTCAGTCTCTCCCCCCCTTCCCCCATTAATTTTTTTTTTTTTTTTTTTACAAGCACGTCCCTCTTATCACAGGGGATCCGTACCCCGAAGACCCACGATAAGTAGCAGCTGGCTGGAGATGCTTTTCAAGGAACCTTGAAGATTGTTTTTCTTTTCAGTGAGGCTGTTAGTCGCCAGTGTTTAGTTCTGGAAAACACTAGACCAGGGCACAAGGGGGAAGGGTAGACACAACACCTCCACCCCCCCACTGATGAGTTTTGATATACAGTAGTCCCTACTATTTCGCGGTTTGACTTTCACAGACTCTCTCTTTTGTGGTTTTTCAATGATTGTCAACTTTAATATTACTCACGTGATTGGAACGTATGGGATAAAAAGTTAATTAAAAAAAATAAAAACTTCGGACAGGCACCACCATTTTGTAGTTTTCTTTCAATAAGCCTATACTGTAAAGCCAATCAAAAGAACTACACTACCCAGAAGTCAACAGTGCTTCCAGTTGCTGCTTTCTGCCGAATGGAGGGATCGTTTTGCAACGCAAAGTCAGAAGTAACGATCGATCTATGAAGCTCGCAGAACTGACAGGAAAGTCACAAATAATTCTAAAGCTTCCTGAAGCTCAATTATCCACGTGCACATCAATCTGGACAGGGCGGTGGGCTTTGTCCCTGCAAGGTAGGTCTGCAGAACTGGAACCGAGCTGCTGGTCTGCAGAGCTCGTAAGTAAACTTTTGCAGTACTGAACAGTAGATATATGCATGTTAAAATTACGTAGGTTTGAGTTTAGAATATTGCAAGAGTGGGAAGGGTTTATAAAGCCTTAAATATATAAATACTAAAATAAATATATTGTTCCTACTTCACGGTTTTTCACCTCTCGTGGTGGTGTAGAATGTAACCCCAGCGATACTCGAGGGATTACTGTACCAGTAACTAACTTTTTCATTCCAGGAAGCCAGAATGGGTCAGAACCTCAGAACAGGACAAGGCATGGATAAGATCTATACTTGTAATGTATTGACTCTCTGTGGGTCTGACCGTTCTCCAAAACTCTAATAAATTTGATGAAGTCACCACCTCATCGTTGGGGAATAACATTTTGCAGATTGATAACATTGGTAAAAGTAAAATCCAAGACAACGAGTAGACAGAACTGCTTTAAGGCTGGTTAGTAAAAATTGAGTAAATGTATCGATTGGAATAAAGCAAAGATTTACACGATTACATTTTTTTTTTTTTTTTAACAACACACGTCTCGTCAGAGTCAAAGCCCATAAAAGAATCAAACAAAATTATGTTTTCATTAAATCTACCATACCTTGTTTCCAGCGCCGCCTACTCTTACAACTTCATGAGGCTCCATGGCATTGACGCAGTCTATGACCACCTTGTTGCTATGGGAACGGGTGGTAGTTACAATTCGCTTGTCCCCTGGAACTTCCTGTAGCTGGAATCCAAAGGCGCCCAATCCCAGCATTCCCCACATGGTCCTTCCTAAAGTGGCTCCCGCTCCGAGCTGACGACAAGAACATCAGCAATGATCAGAGTGGCGTCTTTGCAAAGATCTTCAGATGATGGACTTTGCTTGTACCTGGTAGTTGTAGAAGGGCTGGTTGATGACACCTGCAATAGCTCTGCCTCCATATGCAATACCAATAAGCACCGTCACATTGTCCAGAAGCCCTGAAGTCAGAAAGCAAGGCATTACTTGAAAATCAATTTATAGTTTTTTACCAAATATTTCTCATGTGCCCATATTATGATCATTCTACACTGCCAAATAATCTTTGCCTTCCCATACAGAGAGCTGTGCTAAGAGTCTGAGAGGTGTCCGACCCTTTGTGTGGTGTCAGGGCTACAGCTTGGAGATGGAGACACCTTGACGCTGAAATTAGCAAAGAGAGAAGTAGATAGCAGCTGCAGGGATAAACAAAGAAGAAAAGCTTTTATCGTTTGTGAAGCGCCGAGGAAAGAGAACCAAAACACCCAACAGACTGGTGCATGAAGAACATTCTGCAACTAAAAAGCAACAAGACTAAGATGTAGCTTGGCTGTGGCTACTGAGTGTTCAGGAGCAGGTTGAGTCACCTCAATGAACTATAAACCTTTCACAAGACAGATTATAGTGCATTTGAGAAACTTACCTTCAGTATATTCCTTTGTGCCATCGAGGGGATCGACCCACACGACAAGCTAGGATTCAAACACAACCAGGGCAAGTTAGTGTCCACTGTAGGAAGAAGTTATGAATCAGTCATTAAACCTGAATCTACCAGTGGTTACCTCGTCTTCCTTTAGTGTGCTATATTCCTCTGGACAGTTCTTCTGAAGGATTTCCTCTGACTGACCATTTTCAATAAGATCTTCCTGGACCTCTTCAGCTGGAAGATCCTGTGTAAGAAAAAGAAACCTGGTGATTACTTTATTGTGCCAGCCATAGTGAGTAATTGTAAGCCGTTAAATAAAGTTGCACAGACTCCCTCACCTCCTCTCCAATGATGGTGATTTTGGGAAAACGTCTGGACAGTGAAGCACAAATGCTCTGCTGTGCGAGTCTGTCTGCCACGGTCTGCAGATCATTAGCTCCCGTCTGTGAAAAGGTAATTATGCACACAGAAGAAAACATTCATTTTTAAATCTCCACTAAAGAAACGTTGCTATTCTGTTGTTCGCAAAAGTCACAGGGTGTATGTTCATCCAGGATTTGTATTGTTAGATTAAGAATCATTACTTCATCGTACCTTTTCCACAATGCCAAGTTCTCCACTGTGAAGCACGTTCCTAACAATGGCCCCGGCCTTTTCAGCCACAGAGTACGCAGACGCCACCAGCCGCATAATCACAGCAGGATTCCCAGACATCGTTCGTGTTTAATTCCTGACGGATGGGGAATAAAAAGATAATTTTCGTTGACATTTGAACTTTATGTTGACGCATACAGCACCTTCAGAGCGTCCATCAGCAGCTTGGAACTACAACTCAACACCAGAAAGAAATCAGTAATGCCCCTTATGCCACATTAATGCAAAAAAATATACTTATATATTAAAGCAGCAGCCTCCTTATTTTTGATATACATGAAAATGTGGTAACCCAAGCCTTTATAGCAAAGTATAAAGACAATCATTATACTTTAAATACACTAAAGAGAATTTCCACTCAAACAAGTTTACTTCTTTTGACTGTGTTTAAGCAGTCTTTAACAAATACTACTAAATAAATCGTTATTTTTCTCTTGTTTGCACCTTAGGTATTAGTTTAAAAACAACTGTAAATGACAAAACGTTAAACCTGTTTTCATAATCCCCATTTTTACAGCCCATCTGGCTCAATAATAATCATTAAACAGCAGATTACTCAAAACGCTAGTGAACAGAGAATAAAAATTAGCTTTAATGCTAATGCTTGTGGACTTCTAGGTCACAGCAATTATAATAACATCGACTATATATAATCTGAACTGGATGACTACTACTTACAGGTGATGACACAGAAGAGTAGTCACAGCAGTAATGTGTCAAACCTTTGAACCGAGACGGACTAGCAAGACTGTTTACTACAAAAATAATCTTAGCTAGCAGAGTTAGCTAGTTGTTGCGTTTAAAGACGTTTACTTACAAGTGTAAAATGCTTCAAAATGCCGTCAACACGAGTTCAACTATTGTAGCTAATTGTCTCGTCTAATTTTAAGGTGTTTCATTCATCCAGGTGAAAGGTAAACAGAAACCAGCTTGGCAGATAAGTAAAATCACGCAACATCAGTGGCATTTCAACCAAAGCGGAAGTAGGTGGGAGTGAACGATCTTGCTTAAAAAAAACCTCAACATGCTCGAAGCGTCCTGTACGGTGGCCCTGAAGTTTACAATTCAGGTAGAAGCGTTTGAAGGGAGTTTTACAAGAACATCTCTATACATTTTTGCTCCACGAGATAAGAAAATGTCTTATTGAGGGAAATTTTTCATTTTACATCAAGCTGCCTGCAAAGCTTTTCACGAACTTAAACACTGAAAAAATCTGCGGATGATGTTAAAAAGTGCACCTTGATTTTAAATTCTGTGACCTAGCTGGAATGTGATGGCTTCTCATTTGTCTCAAGTATTCATGACAATATTAAGAATCAGTCTGTTGAGGTGAAACCGGCCACAAAGCTGAAAAAGGTTCTGAGAAGCATGACATGAAAAACAAGCAAAATTCACAATTAGGGCTTTGAACAGTTAATGGAACACTGACGCAGTAGTAAATGATACAAATAACACCTAAATTCAGACAATATTCTCTCACTGCAGGTTTTAATCACTTTAACAAATGTTGTACTATGAAGTGCATTTAAACCACAGTTGTTAAAAGCACAATTGTTTACTCAGAACATATGTGGAACAGCATCATAAATAGCATGGATCATGACTGAGAATGAGATCCTCAATACAAGAAGCCAAAATAAGCTTTTCTTTGTAAGGTGACCAGTTCAGCTTTAAAGATGGGGTGAGGAGATCCGTCAACCAGGGGGAGCTGAGAAGCTGCTCTGCATTGAGAGGAGTCAGTCGAGACGGTTTAGGATGCCTCCTGGACGTTTCCCCTTGCAGGTTTTCTGGGCATGTTCCACTGGGAATCGTCACACACAAAGTCAAATGTCTCTGATTCAGGAAAGACCTGACTTAAGGAATGCAGCATTTGTAGCTCATGTCTAGCATTCGTCTGTGCAGTGTGCATGAGTTTCCAATAAGGAACTTTTTCACAATATTCTAATTTTCTGAGACACTGAGTTTGGGGTTTTCATTATCTATCTGATCATAATCTTCAAAATTACAAGAAATAAAGGCTTGAATATGTGTAATGAATTTATATACCAGTTTCACTTTCTGAAGTGACAGACAAAACATATTGAACTATGTCACAATATTCTATTTTTTATTCATTTCTCTACATCCTCCCAGCTCTGGGAATGTATTGGAATCCCCCAGAGGAGATGGAGAGTGTCACTGGGGAGCGAGATGCCTGGGTTTCTCTGTTTCCTCCATGACTCGACTACTGGTAGAAGTTGGAGATGGAGAAACAGAAACAAACCATAGACATGCTAGTTTTAATTCATTACAGTAAACATAAGTAGCAGAATTAACGTTATGTTAACTGACATTTTTCAAACGACTTTCCCAACTTTAACCGTGCAAATTGCGAACACTTCATCTGTTAGCCAGGGGTCTGTAACCCATCTCCCCCTCCAACTGTTCAGCAGTCAGGGAGCCCAGGAGAGGCTGACAGTCTGGGTTGAAGACGGAGTACGCGCTCAGTTCTCCAGGTTTTCGGGGTGCCGGACTGCGGAGTCCTTCATAAAGCCAGTAGAAGAGGGAGATAATGAAGAAGGGCAGGCCAAACTCCAGCTCAATGAACAGGCCCAGAAGAACCAGCCACAGAAGCACTTTGAGCAAAATAAGGTTTGAGATGACGAGCTGCCTGGAAGCCAGCCATCTTCCCAGAGAGCTATCCAGCAGCCAGTCTCCACTTTCCTGAAAATTATAAAAACAAAGGAAAGACATTAGCTGTCAACTAGCAGGACGAATTCATACAACAAATAATATCAATACTTCTGATTACCAACAAATTTTACATAAAAAAAGCAAACCAACGGCGTTTAGAGGCCTCTGATTTTTATTTACTCAGCCTTTCTGTGTCTCAGGTGTTTCCTCACCCGGTTTTGGGAGCTGTGAGCAGCAGTTTGGTTAGTTTCAGTCTTCTCTGCTTGTTGACTACTGTCAGACTGAACAGCTGTCTCTGCCGCTGTCTGTTCTGTGAACTGAAGATCCGCAGCTTCACTCATTTGAACCTTTTCAACCCGTCGTCTGGCTCTGAACTCGGCGAGCTTCTGCTCCATCGACGCTGAAGTTTAATTTGGGCTACGTGGACAAGTTAAAAAAAATATCTACCTCTTTAGCCGAACCTGTCAGTTAATACTATAAACAACAATTCTGTGCTAAAATAACTGTTGTCTTTCTCATTATCTTACACGTTAAATACATTTTTGCTGCGCTTTCGTTGAATAAACGCTTCGCGAGGTGTTTACGCTTTTACGTCAGCGTCAGTCGCAAAGGAGAACGCTGTGGCGCAAAAACTGTCGTAAAGCATCACTTTACGGCATTTTCCACAGCTTGGGTTGGGTGTCTTTTCATCAGTGGTGAGATAAACAAATATGCATTTTTATTTATATATCCAGTAGTTTATTCTGCCTTTAATATATCTATATTGCATCTATCGTTGACGTAGACTCGTGTTTAAAGACATTTTTAGCTAAAGTCTTAATTAACACAACTGTTTCGTTTTTATTGGTTTACTTTGGTTGCGTGTTTTTGTGCATTAAATTATGTTTTACTGTTATGGTTAAGAAGTGATTAATTAATTTCAGCTCACTTTTTTATGTACAAGCCAGCAGATGTTACACAACATAAATCAACTCTTCAGTTTGGCTCTTTGAAACAACATATTTGTTGTTGATAAGAAATATTTTTGTTAGTTTTCCTCTGCAGACATGGCCTCAGCTCCTGCACAACAGCCCACCCTGACAGCTGAACAAACCCGAGGTGACAGGAATCATTTTCCCTGCTTGCTTTTGCTTTTTCCAAGCTGTCACAATTTCTGAAACAAGATCAGAGCATTACTTGTTAATAATCCCAGTAGGCTTTTTATGTTTTAGTTTTTTAAATGTTATCAATTGAATGATAAGTTTGAAATTCCTGAAAGGGTATACTGTATTTTGAATGAGTAAAGTAAAGGTGGAGCAAGCGGAATAAGTACACTCTTTCACTTTCAATGCGATCAGATTCAAATACTACCAACACAGAACCAGCTTTATATATATATATATATATATATATATATAAATATATATATAAATAATTTTGTTCAGTAGTTTTAAATCACCGACTCCAATTCTGCTCCCAAAACAGATGACTGCAAAGAAAATTGACTTCCCATTTTTTAAACTATAAAAGTATTGATAGACCTGTTTGGTTTTTTTTAGACAGTGTTAGTGTTGCATATCCAGTGTAGGTGAACAATCAAAGCAAGCACAGATTTTATTTGGGTTTGTTTGTTCCACAGTGGTACTGAGTGAGGTGATTCAGGCCTTCTCAGTGCCGGAGAACGCTGCGCGGATGGAGGAGGCCCGAGAGAGCGCCTGTAATGACATGGGGAAGATGTTGCAACTTGTGCTCCCCGTAGCCACCCAGATACAGCAGGAGGTGATCAAATCCTACGGCTTCAACAACGAGGGAGAAGGTGAGCTTCGTGATCCCCTGTACAGAATAATACGTGCAGGAATGGTTCGTAAATCAAACCCAGCTAGAAACAAAAAACAGCGTTGCATCCGTTTCCTAAGATCTGTTTTAAATATTTAAGTGAAGTTCCACCCAGAGTAAGATACATTGTTTTTTACAGGCTTAAAATAAAATGAGTGATAATAAGTTTTGAGTGATGATGGCTTGTTACAACTTTTTAAATGAAAATGTAAAAGTGTATTAGTCAAAAAAGAACAAGCTACTTGACTCTTCCATTGACATTGAAACAAATTATTTAGGATTAAAATAACAATTGGCTGCACAAAATGTGATAATTGGCATTTAATGTTTGTATTATAAAAGTATATCATCTGCAGTGGGGCTTTCAAAATTTGTGAAGTTTTCTTTACAGAAAAATTAAACCTCGCTGCTTGTTCTAAATGCTGTCCTGATAATGGGAAATGGGAAATGGACTGTACTCGTATAGCACCTGTCTATCTTATCAAGATACTCAAAGTACTTTACAACACAATCTGTGCCTCATTTACCCATTCATACAGCACTCTACTAGATCTATACAAAGAATAATCAGAGCTTTATCACATTCATACACCGATGAGACACACATTGGAGGCAATGAGGGGTTCAGTGTCTTGCCCAGGGACACTTCGGCATGGTGCAATCGAACCCTCAACTCTTTCATTGGAGGACGACTGCTCTAACCACTCAGCCACAGCCGTCCCATGATAAAGCTAAGCTCGATGAAAAAATTAAAGCTAACAAACTTTTTTCATTTTTACATTTCTAATCATTTTCTTTCTCTCGAGATTTTTTCTGAGTGAATATTGAATTATTAGTAATTTTCACAGCACTCTGAATTAGCGATGGGATTTGTGGCTCTTTGCAGAGAGAGGGATCTTGTGGATCTGTTCCTTTCAAAGAGTCATACAAAAAGCCAGTCCTTTGAACAGTTAGCCTGGTACGGTCAGTGACGTGCACATGCCTTACTACATATTGCTACACCCATGCTGTCTTTTCCATATGCTTTTCATGCGCACAACACCCTCTCCCCCCACTGAGCACATGTTCGCCAATCACAACTGCTGCGCTTCCTCTCCCATTTTTAAACTTTTTTTATTTCAGTGGAATAGCAAAGGAGAACTGTGCGTTTGTGTAAAACACAGGGGAGGAAAAAAAGAAGACTCAACTACAGCCGGGCATAACAAGTATGTAGTCAGCCACTGATCGTGTAAGTTGTCCTACTTAGAAAGATGAGAGAGGTCTGTAAGTTTTATCGTAGGTACACTTCAACTATGAGAGACAAAACGAGGGGGAAAAAAATCCAGGAAATCACATTGTAGGATTTTTAAATAATTTGTCAATTATGGTGGAAAATAAGTATTTGGTCAATAACAAAAGTTCAGCTCAATACTTTGTAACATAATGTATGTATCCTTTATTTAACCAGGAAAATAACTCATTGAGATTAAAAACCTCTTTTCAAAGAGTGACCTGGCCAAGACAGCAGCATAAAACATACATCAAATCCAAAATACTAAACCAAATACACAAAATACATATCCAGGAGAAATCTCAATAATTGCACATTAGAGCAGTTACAGGAGCCAAGTGATCTGAGCTCTCGTTCCTTTAGAATTGATTTAAATTGTCCCAACATAACCTTTGTTGGCAACGACAGGTCAAACTTTTCCTGTAAGTCTCCACCAGGTGTGCACACGCTGTAGCTGGTGTTTTGGCCCATTCCTCCGTACAGATCTCCTCTAGGCCAGTGATGTTTTGGGGCTGTCGCGGGGCAACACGGACTTTCAACTCCCTCCACAAATTTTCTATGGGGATGAGGTCTGGAGACTGGCTAGGCCCCTCCAGGACCTTGAAATTCTTTTTACGGAGCCACTCCTTTGTTGCCCGAGCGGTGTGTTCGGGATCATTGTCATGCTGGAAGACCCAGCCCCGTTCCATCTTCAGTGCTGTCACTGATGGAAGGTGGTTTTGGTTTAAAATCTCACGATACACGGTCCTGTTCATTCTTCCCTTAACACGGATCTGTTGTCAAAAACAGCCCTAAAGCATGATGTCTCCACCCCCATGCTTCACAGTAAGTATGGTGTTCTTGGGATTCAACTCGGCATTCTTCTTTGTCCAAAACACGACGAGTTGAGTTTTTACCAAAAAGTTTGATTTTGGTTTCATCTGACCACATGATATTCTCCCAATCCCATTCGGGATCATCCATATGGTCTCTGGCAAACTTCAGATGGGCCTGGAACTGCAGGATGAGTCCCTCTCTGCGTAGCCTTTATTACTTTGGTCCCAGCTCCCTGCAGGTCATTCTTTAGGTCCCTCCATGTAGTTCTGGGATTTGTTTGCGCACCATTCTCATGATCATTTTGACCTCAGGGGACGAGATCTTGTGTGGAGCCCCAGATCGAGGGAAATTATCAATGGTCTTATACGTCTTCCATTTTCTTACAATTGCTCCCACAGTTGATTTATTCACACCAACCTGCTTGCCCATTGTAGATTCACTCTTCCCAGCCTGGTGCAGCCCCACAATTTTCTTCCTGGTCCTTGGACAGCTCTTTGGTCTTGGCCATGGTTGAGTTTGGAGTCTGATTGCTTGAGGCTGTGGACAGGTGTCTTTTACACATAACACATTCAAACATTAATACAGGGAATGAGTGGAGGGCAGAAGAGCTTCTTAAAGAAGTTACAGGTTTGCGACAGCCAGAAATCTTGCTCGTTTGTTATTGACCAAATACTTATTTTCCACCATAATTGACAAATAAATTCTTTAAAAATCCTTCAATGTCATTTCCTGGATATTTTTTCCCTCTCATTGTTTCTCTCATAGTTGAAGTGTATCTATGATGACAATTACAGACCCCTCTCATCTTTCTAAGTAGAACTTGCACAATCAGTGGCTGACTAAATACTTTTTTGGCCCCACTGCATCGACAACTTGGTTCCCGTCATTTGTTTGAAAGAATCGTTCAAAAGATTCAGATCATTAGTGAATCGTTCATTTAGATTAAAACTTTATACAGCTCAGATCTTCATGTTTAGTAGGTGCAATGGCCTCATTTCATCATCAGTCATTCTAAAGTGGTTTGAAAGGTAGAATTAAATATACTTAACCCTTTGCACAATAATGTAAACACAGTTTATATATACTCCTCACAGGCTGCGTGTCTTTTTGAAGAAATGTAGCTCATGTCGATCGTTCCTCCCTCAGGCGTCCTTAAATTTGCCAGACTGGTGAAAATGTATGAAACCCAGGACCCTGAAATCGCCACCATGTCTGCAAAGCTGAAGTCTCTCCTGCTGCCGCCCTTGTCGACACCACCTATAGGTGGAGCCATTCCAGCTTCATAGGATTTATTCAAGGCTCAACTGCAAGGATGCTTCTGTAAAATGCTGTCAGTCCACCCCACCTCCCCATTTGTGCCCATTTACTTCAGTAATGTTTCAGTTTATAGCACTACTGTTAAAAGCATTTTTGCAAATACCATTTTTTTAAATGTATTTATTGGTTACATGTACACTATGACCACTTTATAACGTCAAACTTTTCTTTAAATGCCATCTTTTAATATAATTTTATATTCTGTCGAATGTTCGTTACTGCAAGACTAAATGTTCTCTGTATCTGTGCGTTTTGAAAAATAAAAGTGTAAAAATCAGCTTCAGTGTAGAGCCTTTATTAATGAATTAAATTCATAGCTTAACTACATTTTTAAAAACTATTCCATACATTTAATTTACATTCATACATTGCAAAGAGCCCTTGCATTGTTGATGATTAAAACGAGTATTTCAGCTAATAAAAATTAAAATATACTTCTGCTTCCAGGCTTCTCCAGTTTTAGGGTAATGCACACATCAGGACAGTGAGTTCAAAAGAGGTGCACCATTAAAAAAAAAAAAAAAAAGTAACCAAAGTTTTAAAACATTACACCTTTAAATGCTTAAAGTGCTCCTTTAAATTTTGAAGTGCATAAAGTGAAAAAACAATGCACCCGATGATGGAAGTAGATGCTAAGCAGGTTCTGGTGTCCTACTTTTATTGCCCCAGCAGCTGTTCAGATCCAGCGTAGCTGCTTTGTAAGAATATAAAATGAGCTCCTCTGCTGTTTGTTCCACTGGGAGTCGGCCTGAGCCCGCTTCTGAGGGAAGGAGGTTCTATTTTACACATAAAATCAAGTCACAGTCCAAAACTGCTGACCCATTTTAATCCTGGAGAGTTTGTTGTGTGAAAAGCTCCATCTTGTGGAGAAAAGTGATCCAGTCGTTCAGCTCCTGAGGTCACATCTCGAAGTGGCGGAAAATGCTTTCGACGTATCCCAGCACCCTCTGCCAGTCCGGCCCGTCTGCCTTCAGCATCTCCGCCGCTGTCTGTCAGGTAACATGAAAAAGTAACAACTTTGCTGTCAAAGGCACGTTAGAAGTCAACTTTTATGGCTGCAGTTTTATTTTTAGCAGAAAACTTCAGCGTCATCATTTAAAATCTGTTCTGGGACACTGTGTGCTATAACTGGTCTTCTGATTTAATTAAAATAAAAGCAGAAGTTTGACACAGTTGCATTCTTTTTTTTTTTTTTTGGGTGACATTTTTAAACTGTTAACAGACATTAAGGCTCTAGCATCATTTGGAGGTACAGTAAACACTCCCTGCTGCCTTTCATGCTAGACTTTTAAACTAAACTGACCTTACGATGAGAAGAGTGTTGGAATAAAAAAAAAAAGGGTACCACTTTACAATAAGGTTCCCCTTACAGATGGCTAACAAGTTAATTCCTCTAAAAGTACTTTATAAATCATTAACTGCTTATTATGCATTAATTAAGGGTGACAGAGACAAAACTGACCAGTTTCTTGCCAAATCTGTTCATATATTTTATCTAGAGTTGTTGTATTAAACATTTCAGAATAAGTTACTACCTTGTAAGAACCATAAGCATTTGTAAACCCATTTCTTTAGCATATAACATTGTACTTTAATCACTGCATTGTAAGTATCTACAACCAATATTATATCCTAAAAAATAGGTTTACAAATGCTTATTGTGCTTACAAGATAGTAACTTAGTCTGAAATGTTTAATACAACAACTCTAGATAAAATATATAAGTGAACAGACTTGGCTCACTATTTGGAAATAAACTGGTCAGTTTTGGCTCTGTTGCCCTTAATGCATAATAAACAGTTAATGATTTATAAAGTGTTTATAGAGGAACTAATAATTCAATTAAAAAATACTTCATTAATCACAAAGGGAAATTAAATGTTTTAGATCATCGTCCTGGTTTCATTAAAGAGTTGTTCTAGATGCTGATGGCTGTGGGATCTCTTGAAGCACTCCGTCTTAGAGCAGATCTGAAGAAACTGACTGTAGATGTTGATCCGTCTACTTGGACTTTGTGGGTTTCTTGGTCCTCTTGGGCAACAGGACCACCTGAATACTGGGCAGAACTCCTCCCTAAACGGGGACGATCCTGATCTTCTTGTAGTCACGAGCTGCATTTCCCACCAGCTCCAGGATCTCAGCAGTCAGATACTCAAGCACCTCCGCCAGGTAGATGGGGATGCGTCCACGGCACCTCCTTTTTAACTCATTTGTGATTTGGGGCTGTAGCTGAGGTATTATTTGAGCTTTTGAGATGTTAATCAGCTGCTCATGGTTAAAAAAAAAAAAAAATCTTGTCATGGTTACGCATCATAACATATGTCCAAAAGTAAAAAGATTTCAGTAAAAATCCTTCCAGCTGCACAGCATCCGATACTGGAGTAAATAGTCATCCAGAATAAAAGAGGAATTAAAGTTTTCAAAAGCAACATCCCAGAATGAACGTAACAGAGCTGCTCCAACATGCAGCCACCTTGAGCGGTGCAATTTTAGAACTCTAGAATGTCTCTATAAACTATTTATTAGCCATCTATAAAGTGGAGCTTAATTAAACATTGTAAAGAATGAACCTCATGACCACTATGAGAGTTTCTTTAATTCCCTGTGGCTCATGAGATATTTTGCTAAATGTCCAGACAAAGCAACACATGCATAATGGCAGTGGGCAATTATATTCCATATTTATGGTAGTAACTTAAAACAAGCTGATCCATAATCAATGCATTTTAATTAGTCATGAAGCAACTTTCTACCATTAAAAGCTGTATAACTTGTCAAACCGTTAACTTGCACAGACAGAACATAAGAAAGAAACTTAAAAAGGATGAATCGGACCTTCAAGTCCACCATGATAAGTTTGTCTAAGCTGAACATCTGAAGCAGTTTACAGAACAAAGTGTCTCACCAGGATGGCTGGGATCCCCACGCTCTCTCCCACCTTGAAAGCAAGGTCCAAGTTTTGCTCCTGTCAAAGCATCAAGGTCAACTTTATCACCCTAAAATACTGGCATTTGTTAAATTCATTTGCTAATTTATTCTTTGTAAGCTTTAGTTCTGACTCGTGTAAGAAAAAAAAATTCTATCAGATTTTCTGTCCGACATCTATACCACTATGGACACTTATTCATTTGTTATCAAGTCAACACAAAAATTTACTGCGACCTGTTGACATCCATTCAAGTTCAGCTACACATCACTTTTCTGAAAATGACTAAATCTGACCTGATCTATCAGGTGCCCCTTAATGTAAAGAAGAGATGAGTGAATCTCATTTTATGCATATTGTTGCAGTTTTACCTTGTCAGTGGGACTGAGGTCATCATAAGGGATCTGAGTGGGTAGATATGTGTGATAAACCGCACAGAACGCCAAACCGTCCTCCCAGCACGTGCTGAAATTAGTGATTTCAATATTCTGTAGCAAAACATTAAAAAATAAAAAAATAAATAATTTTAGAATGGTGTTTTGAAAGCTAAGTTTTCTGTGGAATAAAACTATGCTCTTATTATTTTGGTTCTCCTCCAACCTTGTAGCCTTGGGTCCGATTTTGGCACCAGCGCAGCAGAGAGTTTCTTCTGGAGCCGCCATGACGCCTCAACAAAGCACTGAAACCATCCTGAGGTCTGTAAAGGCCCCCCAAAAAATATATATCTCATAAATCTACCGAACCCATTTGTTTTTATGATTAATAAACTTTTTATGACAAGCTGAGATAAGAACAAACGGCTTGAACAAATCTAAATCTTCTGGACATTTTAGCTGTTTTCTCACAAGTTAGAAACTAATGAGTCGAACTGGCAACTTCTTTTTCATACAAATTTAAGCAAAAACGTCAGTTTAAAAAAATGATAATCAGCCTCTCACTTTATAAACTCTGAATTTTGATCGTCTTCTTGTTTTCCTGCAACACAAACACAAAGTGTGACAAAATATTAACGTGGAGCGTTGTTAAAACCAGCTGAGAAAATTTAAGCTGGACCGTTTTGAAATCCATTTTCTCAGGTTTGCAAGCGAGTTTTATTCTGATATATTTCAGGCCTCTGCATATCCGAATCAATCAGTTTTCGTGTCATTGTACTGAAGCGCAGCGAAATTACATTTCAGTACAGCCCGTCCGAGAGAAAAACAATAACATGGGGAGACGGAGTTGACTGAGGCCGCTGGCCTTGAGAGGTGTAGCCTTTTTTTCAGATAAGGAAAAGAAACGAGGGGAAGTAGAGGTGTTTAAAAAAAAAAAAAAAAAAGTCTCGCACTGTGTCCTAGACAGGACAGTGTAAAAGTTGCAAAAAAATGGTCTGAGCACAAACAGCAACATATTGATGACATCAAAACACATGTATGCATGAGGGGGCCGATGAGGGCAGCGAGTTGTCCGTGGCCACCGTCGTAGAGTTCCATAGTCCTGATAAAGATGGCACAGTGTCCATCAGCCGGTTCAACTCTGACACAGATCCACAGATGTCCTCGGGAGGTGAACGATAGAGGAGCGGGGGGGAGCAGAGCTTCTCTTTCACATAAACAACCAGGAGAAGTTAAGATAGCTGGCCAACTCAAGGCCGAGTGGGGAAGCCAAATTCAGATCATTATTTTGGGTCAGGAAGCCCCTGCTTGAAGTTCCATGTCTGCCTTCATAGTTCTGCTGGTGTGTCTCACTGGCGATTCCAAACAACCAAATGCTGTGGTCATACCGCCGGACAGAGCTTGTAGCCTTCTCCAAGGTCGATTCCTTCCCGCCAGTGAGTCCCAGGAACCACAAGTGGTCTGCGATTCTCAGAAATCGTGTCCAGTTTACGGCTCAGCTCATGCAGCGTCTGAGTCGGAGAGCTTACCACTCGGTACATTCCTTCATACAAGGCAGGCAGCCTCACATTTGCCAGAACTGTTGCCACCGTCCTCCAAATTTTTCGATATGCCAGATATCCGGCCTGCCAATTCCAAAAAGCAGAAATCTGGTTATCATAAATCTAATTATGTACGCGTCTTCTACGTCCTCAACGGACAGTACAGACGGACACCATCTTCCACTGGTGAATCCATTGTGTATCCATATGTCATAAAAAAAAATCACTTATGGAATCAATGAACCACAGAAATCATTAGGCTATTACCTAATTTCACTTTAAACTATAGAAAAGTAAACGAGAAGCTAAAATAAAGCTAATTTTTCTCAAAAGTTTTCTAGTGTTTATGTGGCACAACAGGAATGAAAGTTTTGGACATTTTCTTTAAAACACTTTATATGCTTTCTATGGGTAGAAGGATGAGAAGTTTGTAGACGGGAGTTTCTGTCCAACGGTTCTGGACCTTTAGTGCTTCATTCCTTGTTGTCCTAAAGTTTATGCATGTGCTTTTGGTTTGCAATCACAAAACCGAGCCCGAGGTTTACAAGCTAAGAGCAGAGTTCCACTGAGCTTTGTCGTTTTGCTTACCTGGACTCAACGTTTCAGCTCACCTGGATAAAAGTTGGACCAGCTGTCCTGTCTCTGTAAAATGCGGTCCATTCTTCTCCCTTTCATTGGGTCTTCTTTCTGGAGGAATTCAAAGACACAACTAATTTTACCCCAAAAGAACAGTCCCAAGATCTCAGACTTTTTTTGCGTGAACGTTGAGGCCTAAAATGATTAATTTTGCTGCCACTTTTTAAGAGTTGCGAACTAAGTTGCATTGTTTTTTTAGACTATTTAACAAAAATTCACAAAATGTAACATACGAGCCGTTTCAGGCCAAGGTCCAAATTTCAGGTGATTTGACATTTTTCCAAGTTGTGGTTGCACATTTAGCTTTTAATGACCTAATAAACAGGTACGTCTCTGATTTAACGTGACAATTCTTCCTGCTTGCAAACACTTTTCCTGATGTTTAAGAGAGGAACTCCTTCCTTGCTGCTCATCGCTACTTTTAGCCGGGTCATTGCCCGGCTGAGTGAAAAGGAACGCACCCAACCATTCATCTATGTTCCACTAGAATGATCATACAAGACTTCAGGAAACTGACTGGCTCATATTTGGTGGTAAATGTGGTTTTCTGGCGTTGGACATGTCTTCATCTTTGCAGGCCTGCCTGTTTCCACAAAGTGAAAATGGGCAAAGATGAAGATCATTTGTCAAATTTGTGGAAAAGTTGCAGCAATTGTTCTAAATTGAAAGACTGAGCAGCATGTGAAGACAGTTAAATTCATAGTTGCAGTTACAACCTTCAGGAGGGACTGAAGGGTCAGAAGAGTTTTTAATATCACAACAGTGTTAAATATTTTCTACCTTGCATAGTGGTAATGTGCTTGTGTTTTTTGAGGTCCCGTTTTGACTCGAGTCAGTTGGAAGAGGAAGACGAGAAAGACTCCTAAAGGGCAAAAACGACACTTTTGTTAGGATTTAGTTGTGGACTGATGGTCGTAATTGTTCAGGTAACTTACTGAGATCTTTCAGACAACATCACAATCCTCCTTGGATCTCTTGGTCCACGTTCTTCTTCTTTCCTCTTCTCCAGAGCGACCAAGCTGCGGATGTATCCTTCAGCCACTCCCTTTCCCGTCAGCTTTTCCGATTCCTTCTCAGGATCACAACTTCCATTTAGATCATCTACGTCTTGAATTGCCTCAGCCTCGTCTTCAGTTTCAAGATTTTCTAGAACTTCACACACTTCCTCCCTCCCACTCTCCACAGACGCTTCTCTGTCCACGTTTTTGTCCGTTTGTGCATCTTTCAGCTTGCAAACGCTCCTCAGATGAGCCGCCTCTGCTCGTTCCTGCTGCAGCTGCACAGAGAGTTCATTCAGCTTGCAGCGGGCGTCTTTGTGCTCGGCTCTCAGGCTCTCCAGCTCCCGCTCGGTCTCCTGCTGTTTGCAGAGAGCCTGAGCCAGCGTTTCCTCCACGGCTCTGAGGTTCTCCTGGAGCAAACCGAGCGCGTGCTCGGACTCCATCCGCAGCCGGTCGGCCACAGAAACTGCAACCTGCAGGTCACACTGGAACTGTTGCCACTCCAGTCTCTCTGTCTGGGAACGAAAAACACAAATTCTGTTCTAAAGCTGCACATAAAGTCAGATGGTTTTTCATTTGAAACTGATGAAATAAACAATTTTAAAAGGTATTGCAGCAGAAGGTGGCTCTAAGCTACTGAATCATGGGGTGCATCAAGTTTTCCACAGACTCTTATTCATGAAAGAGTACAGTACAGTCATCATGGCTGTATGTCTTATGGATTATAGGAATGGCAGCTCACCCTGAGCGTCTCCTTCTGTGTGTCCACCTCCTCAACCAGCTCCTCCCTCTCCGTTATCAAGCGTCTTAGCATCTCTGTCAAGTTGAGGGAAAAGAAAACTCAAAAACAGACTCAAGTCTGGCAGCAGTGATTTGAGTAGACATGATCTTCGGTTAGTGAAAGGCAACATTTCATCACAAAAAGACATGGCTGACAATGGGGTGCCATTTGTAAAGTTACACGGTCAAAAATTAGCAGCAATATTTTTGGTTTATTTGGTCTTTCATTAAAAAAACACTTTTTTTCAAAGTCATATTTTCACCATGTCATTATACATTTATAAATGCCATACTTCCAAACTAAATATTTAATTTAAAAGTTAAATATTTAGTTTACAAAGTTAAATATTTAGTTTACAAACTAAATCCTTAACTTGCAAGCTAAATATTTAGGTCCACACCAAATATTTAGTTTACAAACTCACTGTTTATTCATTCAACATTTAGACAGGTAAATCCCATCGAGTTTATGTCCAAGATAAATGTTTAATTTACAAACTAAATATTTAGGAGTAAATGAAATAATTTCCAAGCAAAATATTTGTTTTCTAAACTAAACGTTTAATTTCCCAACTAAATATTTATTGTCCAAGCTAAATATTTAATTTAAAAACTAAACATTTAATTTCTGAGCTAAACATTTAATTTTTAAGCTAAACATTTAATTCCTAAACTAAATATTTAATTTGCCAACTAAATATTTAGCTCGGACCTAAATATTTATTTCCAAGCTACACATTTAATTTCCAAACTAAATATTGTCCAAGCTAAATATTTAATTTCCAAACTAAACATTTTATTTCTAAGCTAAACATTTAATTCCTAAACTAAGTATTTAATTTGCCAACTAAATATTTAGGTCAGACCTAAATATTTATTTTCCAAACTAAACATTTAATTTCCAAAACTAAATAATTAACTTGCAAGTTAAATATTTTGTTTGTAAATTAAACATTTAGCTTGGACATATTTAGTTTGTAAATATTTAGTGTGGAACTAAATATTTAGCTTTTAAATTAAATATTTAGTTAGGAAATTTGACATTTATAAAAGTATGAATAACATTGCGAAAATATAACTGGGGGAAAAAAAAAGCTCTTTTTTCCCCTATGAAAGGCTAAATAACCCAAAAATATTGCTGTTAATTTTTGACTATGCATCTTTACAAACTGTACCCCATAGGCTGACAACTTTAAACATTACAATTTGACTTGCCTATTCCGGCGAGTATTTATGGAAGATTGCCACTCTGATAAAAAGCTGGGCAGGTAAAGTTCGACGGCTCACCTACAGCTCCTGAGGTTACATCAATGTTGGGGGTTAATCCCAGCGGAGCCCTGTAGTGCTCCATGAGGCTGAGTAAAACCAAGGTCATCTCATCTCCGTCCCTCTCTGCAGCCGCCTGTGGCTCCATCCCGCTGTCTCTCTCCCGCCAGCTCTGCTCCGAGGGCAGCAAACTCGAATCGACTGCCGCCTTCTCCGGTTTGACTGCCGCATCGCTCGAGTTCGTGCCCGAAGAGACGGCGTCCTCGTTGATCACTGCCCACTCCGAGGGAGCCGAGGGCTTCTGGGTCCAGTCTGGGACCGCGGAGGTGGAGGAGGGGGTGATGCTGGCAGCTGGTGATGGAGTCTGTGCGCCGTCAGCTGAAGCTGCCGAGGGTAAAGCCATAGCAGCCAGGTCTGCCTCTGAAGGGGAGGTAGGAGGCGTGTGGTAGAAATCTACAGAAGAACCTGAAAAAAGAATAAATTTAAGTTTAGGCAGAAAAAAACAACAACCTAAGCTTCTCCGTTCTTGCTGCAGATAGAAGTGCTGTCCACTTATTAAACTGATTTTATAGCTTTGTAAGCACACACATCATTTCCCTGTGGAGTGATACAAGAAAAAGGGGATCACTGCTATAAATAAAAAATACATCCATCATTAAATCTGCTTCACGTCTGCAGGACCTGTGCATCTTCCAAAACAAATGAGAAATGATTTGATTGTACTCGTCTATAATTGAGTATTTTGATCAAGAAGCACCCCGTGTGTGCCATCCACTGCTGTAACACTGGTTAGAGTCGTCGGTGCACACGTTTTGGGTAAGCTACAGCAATCTTGGATACATCCCCATTTCCCCTCCTTGTCTTGTGTTGTAAGATTCTGCACACTCATCCTTTGGCTGCATGGCAGCAGTGTGATGCGCCGTAGTCTGCTCGGCTGCAGCAGCAGAGATTTTCTCAGCCTCCAGCTGGAGCCAACACCCTTCACGCTGACAGCCGAGAGGCTGAAACAAGCAGCTGCATTTTAAACAGCCGATTGAACCGAGTGAGACGCCCATCACATGTTTGACTGGAGAGGAGACTTCAGGATCCAGAACGATTTAATGCGTCGACAGCTCTGAACCAAAAACAAAAAAAAAAAAAAAAAGACGAGAGGTTTAGAAAGAAGCTCAAAGTCTGAAGCTGCTGGATTCAAATGTTAGAGCGTTTTGGGAAACGCATTGAAGTTCACTGAAAAGATGATTCAACATGACTGAGCGCCAAGAAACAAGTTTGATATGAGAAGTTAAAGGGTAAAAAGTAGCATCTTGTTGGCTCCAGTTTCAGAACTTATTTTTTCAGCTGCTCCCTTCTTCAGGGGTCACCACAGCGAACTGTCGCACGAAGACTTGGCAATAGTTTTTACGCCGGATGCCCTTCCTGACGCAACCACAGACCACCGAGCTACCACAGCCCTCTGCGTGGAGCAGGGAGCTTCCATCGAGGGCGCACGGGGAGCAGATGGTGGAGGTTAAGGGCCTTGCTCAAGGGCCTAGAGTGGGGTAAATGAGAGTGGAGGCAGGTGTGGGTGTTTCATCTATCCCACCTGCATTTCTGATGTCATCATTACTGGGAGTTGAACCAGCGATCTTCCGATCACAGCCCCACCTTCTCTAACCTCTGCGCCACCACTCCCTCAGTTTCAGATACGACTCTATAAACTACAAATCAAGTTAAATTATGTTAAAATGAACCAGCAACATCTTCTGAAATCCTGTATGACCGTCTGCCACAAAAACTGAGCAGCAACATTTTTGACTCATTTGTGACTGTTGTGTTAGCAAAATATCTTTTTATATCTTATATCTATTTATTATGAAAAATCATGTCTATATATGCATTTAAGCTTATATTACTACCTGTGAAATACATATTTATACAAATTCATCCTACTTGCACCGTTATATTCTACGACGTTGTTGTTGTTTACTATATTTAGTTTTCACTTTTTGGTACTTTATTTTGTACCCTTATTGCATGCTTTAGTATTTATTTTTATTTAAATTTTTAGCGAGTCGAATTGGTTCTTCTCATTCTTAACATTTTATTGCATTGCTGACCCCGTGTCACCTGCATATGACAAATAAACAACATATCATCATGAATAAGTGGGCGCTTTTTAATCAAACTTTCGGGAAGTAATCATCGGCTGAACATCTGAAACTCGTTAACATCTGGAGTCAACTCAAGTAAAGATGGCCACCACAGCTAACTTTAGCCATCACTGAACAAACGCCTGTATTTTTTTACAGATACTGAGCAACATTTGATATTAAACACACACCAGATCATGAAATAAACTATTACGTTACAACTGAGCTCAATGTTTGTCTCTTTTCATCGTTTGATGGTTTTAGTTTAAATCTCTGGCGTTAACTGCAGCAGGAGATATGCGTTCCTGCAAGAAGTGCAAGGACTTTAATTTAATTTTATTACATTTCTTTTTAAACTGGACTGTTTCACTTTATATTTATATTTTTTAGAAACAATAAGGTGATCCACCTTTACACCCGTTTAAACAAAAAGCTGCCGCTCCAAAGATTTTGCTCTTTTGTGCACTTTTTGTTGAAGTTTTCACGTTTTCTTTTAATCCAACTTTTTTTTTTTTGTACATTTCAACCATTTGTAACGCAGGACTTGAACATGAAATTCTACTGGAGGTTTTATTAACTGTAAATGTTCCTGCCGTTCTGCTGCAACAACAAAAAAAGTCAGAAGATTCACTGATCTTTGTGTGTGGTTTTTTTTTTGTTCATTTCTTTTTCCACCTGAGGATGGAGATAAGAGTCGCTGAGGCGAAGTGTGACAGTTCATAAAAAAACTGGAGTGAAACAAAAGTCTAGAGTCTGAATCGATACGATTTCTTCATCTCACTGGCGGCACGGTGGCGCAGTTGGTAGAGCTGCTACCTCTCAGTGAGA